TCACTTAAGTGTTTTTTTTTTTTTTATAGCTTGTCATTTATATAATAAAAACAAGTATTTGTACAAAGATGCAGTTTCTTTTTAAAAAAGCAGATCAGTTGAGTGTTTCATACTTTACTATATAAACCAAAACATATGAAAGCTATAAAACATTAGTGTGCCATGTGTTAAACATGTAGGCTCATATTTTAATGCTTACATGTGTAGATTAAAAAAAGTTATCACAATGGAAATTTTACTTTCAATTATCATAAACAGACCAAAACACAGAGTAGAAACACATCATTTCTGAAACTTGACAATGAGCATCACCTACTCTCTCAAACATCAACTGGGCTTCAAGTTGTACACCATAAGCGTAAGCTAACATTCTACCAATGGAAGTGTTACAAAATGTGGTAAGAGAAAATACTACTGCCAGTTGAATGTCTTAGTCTATTTTTTTATTTAGTAATTTATTATTTTTTTTAAGACAGTTTGAATTGGTTTTATAGGGTTGGGGTTTTTTGCTGTTCTGCTATCAAAGGTCTTCTTTAAAACTGTTCTGTGAACAATACAGTCACATTACAACTAAACAAAAAGACTAATAATAACAGACCAGCTGCTTTTTACATTTTAATAATCATAATTTCCCAGTGCTGTTCTTCCTCTCTGCATAGGGAAATTGTTTTATTTGGCACATTAAGGATAAAAAAGTCAAAAACTGAACCAAGGTTTACAAACCTCCAATTGTAAGTTAGTAGTTATAAGGAAGAAAGCCAGACATCAGTGTCATGGCAAAATTAAAAACAAAAAACCACACACGCAACATAGGGAAAAGGTTTTCCAATGATCAGTATCATCAGAGCCTTCTAGCTGAAATAAAATACATATATTATTGTTCAAACCATAATCGGATTGCTAGGAATCTTATCTCAAGTCCTGTTGTGCTCTTACTTACAGACTGTAAATCCTCACTAAATGGCAAGGAGGCTTTGATGAACACATTTCACATTGTGTAATTTTTTCTTAATCTCAAGTTTTAATGCAGATACTTGAAGATCTGTAAAGTCCTGTAAACTCTGGCTGCTTTCCAGTCGTCTGTACCAATTGCTTCTTAGGCAGCACTTTGTTTCGCTTCAAGTAGTGTTTCACACTGTGGTATCTCCGAAGTCCTTGTTCCAGCGAATATATGCTTCCAGGGTCTGAGGGCTCAAACTGCGCTTTATCTTCTTCAAAGACTCAGTGAAATCTGATAGTTTGATATTTCTCATCTAAACAAAAAGTGAAAGACATCAGAATCACAAGTGGTTTATGTACTTCAGTTTATTCAAGAAGTGCTTCAGTATTCACTTTTAACAAAACATATTCTACGAGTGCTTCATCTTGATATAAGAAAAATTTTCTACAGTGAGAACAGTCGTTCACTGGAATCAACCTCCCCCGGGACGTGGTAGAGTCCCCATCGCCCGAGGTTTTCAAGATACGACTGGGCAGGGTGCGAGAGAATGTCATCTAGGCTCCCTTTCCTATGAAAGGTTGGACCAGATGATCTTTCAAGGTCCCTTCCAACCTGGGCTGTTCTGTGATTCTATGACCCGATGCAAGAGTCTTGTAATTCAAGACTATCAGTATTTACCGTTTTTAATAAACTAACATTTGGTAATCATAATGTCTGCCTTGTTATTTAATAGCCCATGAGATTGCGTTATTACTTCCTGTTTCACTAGGTGGTGCAAGCTGGTGCATGAGGGCACAGGACTGAGTAAAGAGTAAGACATGGGATTTTTTAACATGTTTATGGCATACCTCCGCATACCAGGAGAATAAGGCACTGAAAGTTCCCGCCCTTACCACAACTGTATTCAGACTGTAGTGTGCTGTCAGCTGAGTAATCCCAGTTATCTAACCTCTCCGATTCAACATATGCCTTTCAGTTCTTTGCTGAGGACACGATTACAAGCAGACACTTCCCATATAGAGAAATGCCCAGACATGATGGGAGATAACCAAAGTGTGTGGAACAAGCAGTCTCATTATTAAAGGAGTATTAACATTACAATTGGAGACGATGCCCCGTGTTTCTTTGGGACTAGTATTTATAGGCTATTGGAGGTAAACTTGCATTCACAACAAATTTTCACAGATGTTCTCATCTTCCTGCAACAAATCCTTTCAGCTTATCATAGCCTTAGCCATGATCTCAGGCTAAACACAGAAAGCAACGGGGGAATTAAGTTTTGCTTCATTTTCCCCTACATAACTGTGGTTTGCACACACATTTGAACAGAAACTTTTATAAGCAGGACCAAACTCTTCCTTTTCTTTTGATGTTTACAGATGCAATTTGTGGTGAGGAACTTAATGTAATTTTTTTTTTTTGCTTTATGATGGTCCATGTGAATGAATGTAAGTATTATACATATACACAAACAAATCTGTTTTAAAATCCCTCAGAGGTTCTCCCTAAGATGACTTGCTTTATGTAAAGACAGGGGGTTGGGGAGGTAAGAAATAAAATAAATCATTTGACATAATACTTCTGGGAATGTTTTGCGGGAGTAACACTGCGAGAAAATAAAAGCCAGGCCTCTGGCATCATCTGACAGGTAACAGATCAAGTTGCAGTTTGGTGCGAAGGAAAAAATAGGACAGTCAGCTGAAACTAGGAACAGCGGAGACTTACTATCGGAAAAAGAGGTGCTCTTAAGCCTGATAACCAACAAACTACACAAAGAACCTCAGACATCTGAGGACAGATTTTCTTCTCAATCACTATTTAAAAAGAATTTTCTTCGATGAAGAAGTAATCAAAAAGGGTAATACCCCCAAAAAATTATGCTAGGTATTTTGTATGATACTATGTGTAAATAAAAGGACCTTAGAAGTTTCTGGTGAGCATGCATTCTATTCCAAGGGGAAAATACAGTGCTAGAACAGCATACCTCACTGGCAGACATGTTCTTCACCTGTTCTGGTTTTAATTCTGTAAAAGTAAAGGAAGATCAGTGAGTTTCATAAGAAAACTTTCATCACTTCTAACAACTAAAGCATGTTAAAAGCACTTTTATTCTGAAAAAAACCCCACAGCTAAAAATTATACTTCTCTGCCTCAACCATCATCTCCTGTACAGAAAGGTACACGGTGTTTCTACCTCCTTCTTCCCCATTTATCAGCTCCTCAACCAGGCTGCTCCCACACTCCATCACTGCATATACAGTACAAACTGGTAGCAGAACTACTTTCTTCTTCCTAAAGTATGGGGAACGGCACACAAGCGTAACAGAGCTGCCTTCCCCCATATCATTCCTGGTACCTACAACCCCCTTACCGCTCAAACAGGTACAATTTTCAGGAAACTGAAAGGTAGTGTCAGCCAAGAATACAGACATAAAAATCAGGCAGGGCACATAAGAGTGCTTCTTGCCCTGTGCAGTACTGGTGGGATCTAATCGATCATTCCCGTATCCTTCACCATTTCACCTTTTTTTTTTTTTTTTACTTGTAATATTGTTATGGTATCAACACATTACAGCAAACTTCTTGCTCTGAGGGTGCAAGAAAAAGAATCTAGGCAGGACTGACTCGGCTGACATTAAAAAACATTTTAAAAAATAAATTGTTTTATATGGAAGCCAGGAGCAGGTGGAAGAAATAGGTAGCAAAACATTTCATGGTCTCTTATCAAAATGGACTTGCACGTGAAGTGATTCGTCAGCCAAGTAAAACCTGCATGCCTAAATGCATACATTATCAATTCAACCACTCTAAATAAATATATTCAAAGTCTTAGGAGACATGATGTCTCTTGTGAGAGCTATTTAATGCACTTCTGTTTCCCAGTTATTATGCAGGATTTTGGAAGATGTGCCTTACAATCTCAACAGCTGAAAGTAAGTGGGCAAAAAACCATTACTTTCCAGCAGCTGCTTTCAAAGAGATGGCGCACTGGCAAAACTGCATGCTATAGGATTTTTGACTCAATTGAAAAAAAAAAACAAAAAAACAAACCAAACCCCACACCCACAAAACATGCACAGACCTCTCCTTCCCATAAATCATTTAAGAGAGTTGCAACAACTTTTATTTACACATAATAGGCTGATATTACAGAACACTTCTGCTCTGGCTGCCTTTGTACCTTTCTGCCAGGTAGGACAATGTATCTGCAAACAGAAAACTAACATCAAATCTTCACAATCTTTTCTTCACAAAATTCCACTACTGATCTCCATGAAACAAAATCAGCCCCTTCAGATGTGGCTACTGGACACATAACTAGCTAGTGAAACAGAGCAAAGGGGGGCGTTGGAAAAAAGTATTCACTTTGCATTAAAATTGTCTTTTTTCAAAGTTGGAAATGTCAGAGGAAGAACAAATACAGGTAAAACTCTACTTGAGTCACAATTGTCATCTGGATCACAATTCAACATTAAGAAGATTTAAAAATAAAAAAAGCTATGCCATTCAAACCGTATCTAAAAAAACCCCAAAACACAAAATTGCTTCTGTTTCAATATTTCCTTCCTTTAGACTTGAAAGAAATCTGCCCACTTTGTAAAGACGAATAGCAGTCTCTGACTGCATTACTTAAGTAATAATTAGATATACCAGAACTGACACCAGCCTAGGAAAGATGAACTAGTTAAAAAACCCACAAATCTGTGAAAAACACTTCACCCTGCTTTCCTCTTAAGACACAAAAACTGTCTGTTTCACATGGTGAGGTACTGAAAGGTTTTGTGCAAGGTAAGTCTTATGAAGATGCTATTATGAGGAACAGACCAAAATCCAATCTAAAAAGCTTAATTTCAGAGGTTTAAGAAATCTAAAGATGTAGGAAAATATAGTATCACTAATATCAAGGGCACTGAGTTTTTTCAAAACCTAAATAAAAAGCAACTCGGCTTACCTCGAATAGGGCCCAGCGCTGCATCCTTTGCTAATGCGGTTAAATCACTTCCAGAGTACCCATCTGTCATTCTTTGTCAAAGGAGAAAGTGGGGGAAAGGAGGAAGAAAAAAAACCCACCTGCTTCAAACCATATCAATTTAATTGCAGATGATTAAAATGTTACTTAATCAGAAAAAGTATTATTTTGATGTTACTTTGCAAGTTTAATAAATCAGCTAAGTGTTCTATATTTAAGTCTTTCTCAGATTAAATTTGAAGTACAGATATTCAAATCCCAAATAACATTCTAGGAAAAGCAAAAAGATAGCAACCAACTTGAATTTGTAGATGAAAACTAACCTCAAGCACGTTTACTATTTCTGTTACAAGAATGCCCTACCACTAGTTTGTCATCATTTGTCATAGATTAATATAAACCAAAACCTCAACTGTCTTGTACTCTTTCAGCCCAATCAATACAATGAGAACCCAATACCACACATTTATTAAGGTGTGATTACACGACCAGTCTACTGAATAAAACTGTGTGCACTTTTAGTTGACATCAGAGCCAGACAAAGGGCAAAAGCAGGCATTGCTAAAAAAAAAAAATAAAAATCTAACAGTAGGAAAACTAACCTCAAGCACGTTTACTATTTCTGTTACGAGAATGCCCTACCACTAGTTTGTCATCATTTGTCATAGATTAATATAAACCAAAACCTCAACTGTCTTGTACTCTTTCAGCCCAATCAATACAATGAGAACCCAATACCACACATTTATTAAGGTGTGATTACACGACCAGTCTACTGAATAAAACTGTGTGCACTTTTAGTTTTGCAATCGGCCAGACAAAGGGCAAAAGCAGGCATTGCTAAAAAAAAAAAAAAAAAAATCTAACAGTAGTGTTTGGTTTTGAGAATAAGTGATAGTTTTGCAGTATGCCCTTAATGGAAAGCCATGGTAGCAGTTGACCAGTGGACTCCAGGGAGTACAAAATTCTACTAATCCAGAAGAGTAAATACAAATCTGAAAAGCAGCACCGCTTTGCTTAGCAAGTTACAGTACAGACAGCATTATTTCTGGTGGAAGACCTTTTTCAGTGTTGAAGGTTTGGTAACAGACAGACTGTACTCTCGGAGTACTTGGCAAGCTTCTCAACTCTCCGAATTTACAGTCTGCATTTTAGCAGAGTACTGAAACAGCCTCCTGTAGTTTCCACATGGAAAATGATCTCTAGCACAGCTAAGTCTGACTCACCAACTGATTCCAACGTTAAAGCCTAAACTGGGAATTGCTAATGACTGACAACCAACTGAGGGACTTGAGATGGCTGCAACAGCCTGAGCCACAGCCTCAGCGGTTATCTGCAGAAGCCTGAACACTTTACACATTTAGCTTCAAATAAGAATTATAATTCACCTTGGAAGTGAAATACAGTGGACAGGTCCTTATTCAGAAAGAAACAGGTTCTATAAACGTGTCTTGCACACGCTTCCCACTGATTTGGGAAACAATATAGTGTAAATGTGCAGGTATTCTGTAAGTGAACTGAAAGGAAGATAAATTGTGTTGTTATCTACTGAGGGTTTTTTATTATAAGACTGGCAGACATACAGATCATCCAAATTCTCAGAACCACAAAGAAAAAAAAAATCAAACCAAGGACCCAATCTCTATGGGAGCTTCTCCAGAATTAGACTTAATGTCCAAGTTAACCAATTAAATATATTGCAGGTTAAAGTTCTCCACTGAAACAGGAAGCCACCAATACATACTGCCAAGGTAAGTGAAAAGAAGTAGTAAGGGTTACCTAAAGAAAAATTTAAAAACAAAAAAAACCCACCCTGCTTGTAGAGCAGTGGCTAGCTGCAGCAACAAGAGCTTCATAGCTCAGTCTTCTGGAGACCATTAATTCTGTTATAGTTTATAGGAAAAGTTGCAGAGGAGCAAAGGAACACAAAATCATGAAGGAGGTTAAATACCTATCTTTTTCGAAACAAAGAAAGAGGGCAGATGAAGCAGGCAGGACACTCAACTTTTATATTTTCTCTAAAGCCTTTAAAAAAAAGTGTAATTAAGTTGCATTTGTAATTTGGTTCATAAATTTGCAGTTAGAATCCAAGACACAGTCTTTTTCCTCCAGTTAGCTATTACTGCAGCCTAAATATGGCCTGAGCTAGTATCCTTCAAGTAGAGAGAGCATTTATTCAGTTGGATTATACATCAAATTTCTGTGATGTTACTAACGCTACGAAGCTGACAAATGCTACATCCAAGACTGTACTCACCTCCTGTGTACTACCACAAAGTGAAACAGAGACTGAGGTACATCCACTTGCATATTTTTGGTATCTTACGCTCTGTTTTCATTCCTTCCTGCCCTAGGTGCTCTACCTGCTTTTTAGTCTAACTTCCTTCACACCCATTACATTTAATTTCTGAGGGTGACAAACAGCAGTACTGTGTCAATCTTCATGACGAAAGACATAAAACAACTTCATTTCATAATAGGAAGGGCACTTAACCCACATTTTCCCAATCAAATATGAAATTGAAAAGAATCTAAAATATCCATACCAGCTCTGCTATGTTGGCAATACCTTCAACAAACCTAGCAATGGACAAGCAAAGAAAAGTTGCTTTTGATTCGAAATGCATGCTAAGTGCAAAACTGGTACTGCCTTTTTGCATCAGGAAGGAGAGCTAGACTGCTTGGGGGATGGGTGGAGAGAAGCATCCCCCTCCCTCCTCCTCAGAAAGAAAAGCACTGACCAGCGCGTTTCAACAACAGAAACCCAGCCAGGTGGTGTAGGGAAAAAACAAGCATGCATATATATATATATATATGCACTTTGTATATATATATAAAAGCATCTATAAAAACACTTTCACACAGCCTGACAAGAGACCATCTTCCCAAAACACATGCAATTCATTCTCAGCAAGTGTTGTCACTACCTGATGATTTACATTAGTTGCATTTTGAATGAATAAAACAGTCTGAAATACAGTAGACGAGTATATTTATTTAGTATAGTTACAAAATACTTACCTAGCTAGTTGCGCCAACTCTTTTTGGGTCAATGGACTTCCTTGCTTGCTTAGAAGATTTTTTAGTAAAATCAATCTTGTCTGAAAAGAAGATACATTTATCAGATGTAAAACTCATTTTCACGGTACACTTAAAATTCTGTTGCAACAACAAAACTACACGTTTGTCAGGTTAGCTTTCATGCTTCACTAGTTTAAACTTGCCTATAGTGCTTTTGTGATTAGACCGTACACTATCATCTCTTCAGGGGAAGAGATAGGGACTTGGTAACAATGAGATCAAGGGTCAAACTACTTCAAGAATAATACATTAGAATCCTCATCAAAAGCCCTAATCTGCTGTTGAGCTGAAAAACATTACTTTAAGAAAGCCACTTTCATCTTTCGCAGTAAACACTCTTCTCCAGCCAACCAAACACGCTCCTGCAAGCCCTACTTCAGACTTGTCCGTGCCTGTCAGTATGTAAGCAACACCCCACTAGCCAAGAAATACTGAGTAGCTGCTACCAGATTTGCCACTAGCACATGTAAAAAAAATGCAAAAACTTAAGATAGTCACCAGAATTAAAGCACAGTGTATATGGCCAAGCTGGGCCAGAAGTTAATTCACAGAATTGTAATCATCCACTAGGGCAAGTTAAGAATAGCCTATGAAATTATTTTATACTCTTTTTTAATAAAATTGATCTTAAAATGAAGAAAATGCATGGGAAACAATACTTACTTCCTCATTTGGTAAAGACACATATACCCGTTTGGTGAATCGTCTAAAAAAAAAAAAACCAAACCACAAAACATATATAAACACACACACACTTTTATAACTTTTTAGCGCATACAGACCTAACATTTGGTTTGATAAATGTCAAAATTTGACTTACATCATCAAATTCTAGGGAGTAGAACTACAGATTTAAAAAACCCAAACAACCACAAAAACCCCAACCAAGAACCAAACAAACAATATGCACCAGCCACTGGTGTCACCTTACTCTTATGTGAAGTTATGAGACTCCTCCCAGAGAGGAAACACTCGAAAGGTAGAAAACCCACTGACTACCACCAACAAAATGAAGCATCTCTTCACTGTACACAAAAAGTCTTTGGAATCATTACAGATGTGTTTTATTTGTTCAGACAGTGCTGACATGCCTGTTTTCCTCAACCAAGAATGAAAAGAGAAGAAAGTATGAGAACTTGTAGCAAAAAAGTCCTAAGGCAAATCTACAGCAAGATCTGTAATTGCATGGGACATCCGAAGTCCAATATTCGGAGAGAAGAAATACTGGATTTCACTGGTCAAATTTCTTCCTTCATCCTGCCATTAAGATCCAAATAATAAAAAAGCAATATATAAGATGCAAGCGGGTTATAAAATGCTGACTTGATCTCAACAGGTACTGCTGTTTTAGATAGTCCCAAGGCCATCATGCTTGTGTAGATGTATCCCAAAAGAGAAGAGTCGGGCACCTCTTTGAGAGGTTAAATAATTTAACCTTGCCGAACAGCTTTTGCTACTTACTCCAAAACTTAAAACAACCAAGACATTAAGTAGCAAACCTTGCTCTTCATAATGAACATCATATTATTGTATGCAAAGAAAGGAAGAGACATTTTGATACCTTAGAACAGCATCATCAAGCTCCTGTGGCCTGTTTGTTGCTCCCATCACAAGTATTCTGTCCTCTCCAGAAGACTGCACCTATGTAATGTAGGAAGGCAAGACAGCTTTCAGTTTACATCAAGTAGTAATACAACAAAACCAGTGAGAGACTTGCTGTGTATTCAGCACACTGATGGGATCTTACTGTCTATGCTTTTTTTTTTTCCAATGCAGTTACCTTTAAAACATTCTTTAGATAAATATAAAGTCAAACTAGGAAAAAGTAAAAAGAAAAAAAAGAAAAAGAAGGAATGTAAACACAGGACACTATGCCCAAGTTATGTTGCTTGAAGAGAGTCTTGCAAGAGCACAAATGCTGCTGTGGAATTGCATGTTACAATGCTGGAGAAAACTGAGACTACAAAAAGAACTCAGAAGTTTAGCCATCGAGAGATAATTATGTTTTAAAAGCTAGAGACTTTCTGCTGTTGTGGGTTTTAACACCTAATATTGTTTTGAAGCCTACAGAGAAAGAGAGAATCAAACTTTAGACTAAGCTACAGCCAGAACTACTAAATGAGATCAGAGATTCATCTACTACAGGTCTCGCAAGAAGCGAGTAATCAAAATGAGAAGCTATTCAATAGTACACAGACACAGTAATTTTCCCCCCAATTCACGCAATTGCAAGACCTGATTTTATACCCAAGAATATGGAGATTTACAGCTTCCAGACTTCAGAGAAAACATTTGGGTATCAGAGACGTTATTATTCACCTAGTGTCCAATCTTCCATAGACTTAAGTTCATTGCTGCCCTACTGAGTCCAAAAAGCTCCACAAAAATATTTTATGGTATAGCAAACTTTGGATCAACGTGTAACTAACTTACTAATTATGTTTAATTTTCTCCTTTTCATTTTAAGAGAAAACTTAAAATGTGTGTTTGTGTAATAATTTCTGAATATCGTTATCACATTGCATTATTTGTCCTGATTCATCCCACTTTGGAGAAGTTTTTCCTGATCTCATTGTCTCTCTATATTGTTATCTTCTCCTGTACCTCATTACTATTGCTTCACCACTGTAGCAATATTCCACTGTGCTAGTGGAATATAAATGAAGATTGTTCAATACAAAAAACAGTGCTGTGTGACAAAAAAAATATTCTGATATTCATTTGTTTCCCCCCAACTATGAAACCCAGTTCCTTTTCCTGGATATGACATACATGCTATTAAATATATTCTTACTGTATCCTGTCATCTCTAGGTCATGATGCCAAGAAAAAATTTATAGCTCAATAAAAAGCATACTAACACAGAAATTAATCCTTCTGATGTGTCAGAGTTGTGTATACCCATGATCTGAACTAGTCTGTTTCAAATCCTTATCCCTCAAAGTCTCGCCCTAACCCTTGACAGTGCTTTTGTGACACATATCCCTTAAGAACCAAAAAGACACTACTTAAAAGCCATTTAATCTTCTTTTACTTTGCCAGAATGAAGAGATGTGCTTCACCAAAACATGCAAACAAGGATTCAACTCTGCCTAACCCTCAAGTGTCCCTCTTGCCCTGCAAGAACATTTGTTCTCACAGCTCCTTTACTGCCACTTGTTATCCTTTCTTCTCTGTCCATAGTCTCTCAACCCATTATTTCACCTCATCTCCAGATTACTACCTTTCACCCCAGGCTGGTTTCCAGAATACTACAGTAAGCAGGTGAAAAATTAACAGCAATAGAAAAAAGCTGTTTGCCGACCAAGGTGGGGGGGGAGCGGGACAGAGCTAAGCCCCAGCAGCCAAATCCTCTTTGTGCTTCATCTGTAGCTTGTACTGGCACCCACTACATTAGCCAATTCAGCTAAATCAAACAATACCCAAGACTTAAATACTTACACCATCAAATTCTATTAAAAATTCTGTTTTTAGACGCCTACTAGCATCATGTTCACCTTCTCGTCTTTCACACAAAAGGCTATCAACTTCATCTAAAAAACAAAGAAGTACATCTCAATTAAGCATACAACATCAAGGTCTTCCTATTTGCCTAAGTTCTTTTGCTAACATAGGGCTCCAGTAAGAGAGATTAGATCTTTATTCAGTAGGAGACAGACAGATCTTAGTAACTAAGTTTAAAAGCTTGTATAACGTGTTGCCCTTTGAATATGTAACACCAAGCACAGATGAGAGAAAAAAAATCCTGCTGATAATAAACTGCAACTCAGGACAAGCAAAACCCATTTTCATGTTTGAAGTTTAATACATAAATGGACTTACTCTGTAAAGGTAGTACAGCATTTGTGTTTTTAAGGGCATTTCTTCCCACTATTAACACCAATTAAATAACATAACAGTAATGTAACATGCTCTATACGGAACTACTGATTAGCCAGCAGGTCATATCTGAGACACTTGCTCTGCACTGCAGAATTACCCCAAGAAGTTTACCCGATTATTCCAATTTAGTAAGTCAAAATATTTAAGAAAATACACAAAAGTCAACAACATTTAAGGTCTTACCAATAAAAATTATAGAAGGCTGTAGTTCTCTGGCTACTGCAAATAGAGCACGCACCAGTTTCTCCCCTTCACCCACCTAAAACAACAATAAACTGGTTTTAGAGGGGGTTTAGAAAGTGTTTATTGCAAGAGAGCTAACATAAGGACCTACAGAAAATCTTGCTGATAACCAACCACACTCAGTCCATTCATACACACTCAGATTATCACTAGTTCAGTATTACATATGACAGTATTGTTTATGTCTTAAAAGAAACATTGCAACTTCACTTATGATCACAATTGAGTTGTCAAGAAATTCTGGTGCCTAAATTATCAGAGCGAAAGGGAGCTGGGACCCACTTCATTTATGTTTTAAAGAAGAAAAAACCCACAACCACTTATCTGTATGACAGCCAGGGTCATCCTGAACTGCAAAAGCCTTTGACGTCGAGTTATCACAAGCATATAACAAAATTTTTTACTTCACAAGTCACTTATGTTCACTATAGGCTAACAGTTCACCAGGGACTCATCAGAAGTCTCTTAAGCCCCAATTACAGCATGTGTGTTTTCAGATCAATATAATTTACAGCTGCTACTTACGTATTTTGAAGTTAGGCTTGCTGCACTTATATTAAAGAAAGTAGCATTTGATTCTGCAGCAACTGCTTTGGCCTAGGAAAGGGGGGGAAAAAAAAAAAGTACTTTTTAAAACATCGCATTGAAGATACACCTCTCTGCTTCTGTAGCTAAAACTCATGTCCCGATTGATGATTTTGGAAACCCTGTTCCTTCAAAGGGAACACCTTGTAGATGCTACAGAAAACTTCTCTACAGGCCACTGACAAATAAGAACGGATAAGCAGTCGAACAACTAGAGAAATTTCCAGACTCCCTTAGACTCCTCTAATCACATCACCTCCATAGCCAGCTACAACTTGCTTACTGAAGAATACAAGTCTCCAGCTCCTTTCAATGTATCCTGAGTAGATATCTGAAACAGTTTTAACTAATTTAGGGTGCTAATTTAGGGCAGCAGTTGGATCGATCACATTAAAATTTATGGGTTTTTTTTCTTCCTTACCCTATCTATACAAAAACTGTTTTCAGAGGAAAGCTAGAAAAAAGAATCAGTTCAGCCAGAATGCTCATACAGAGTACCCTCTTCTTTAACAGTTCCACCATATTCAAGAAGTTATGATTCCCTGGTTATACAGTTTAATTTTAGTGATTAGCAATAATGTTCCAGTATGTAAAACGCAACAGATGAGCCCAAGTGAGCTGCTCAATATTCACACTCCTGCGCTTCAGAGCTGATCCAGCTTCAGTATCAGCAAAGGGAGCGTGCAGCTGCAGCCACGCCATGTGATGCAGGATGATGTGCCCAGCTCAGCTGCATCAGGACACGCGATGCTCCCTGGCTGATGCACAGCCATTTCACTCCAGTTCCCCGAATCTAGCACATCAGGCTAAGAAAACAAGCAGCAGCCAGACAGTTCCACAGCACTTATGCTCTTTGCACAGCAGTGTGGAATTGAGACAACCCCCTTTCTTGCTACTGTGCTCCTTCCCCATTTCCAAAATGCACTTCTAGTATGTTTTAGTGGAGAGAAGACCATTTGTGATTAATCACTGCTGTACACAAACAATTAACCATGTTACTTTTACTCTCTCTGAAAATGAAACTTGGACTTGCCGGTTTAAGTTTTAAAATATTACTTGTGATATTGAAAAGAATTAAACAGAGAGCAGTTTAGCAATTCCCTCCCTCATAAAATCCACACTTAAGAACAATTTCGCATTTTTGTATTAAATTGGCACCATAACATATCCAGGAAGACTATACAGTTTATTACTCCAACACCCAAACTGAAAGCCACCCCTCACGGTTACATTTTAATACACCAACTCATGCACGGAGTAATTTTCTCACCAGCATTGTCTTCCCATTTCCTGGTGGGCCGAACAGCAATAAACCACGTGCGGGAGCTCTAAGTCCTGTAAATAACTGAAGAGTACATCATCATAAGTGACCTTCAAAGACTTAAAGAAACTGCTGATTTACCTTTGTAAGAAAACAATTTAAGATTGCTCACTGGCTAGCAGTGGTAGCAATAGTAGCAGTACTACAACAGTACAGGTTTTTAGAGAACTACATTCTATTACTAACGACCTAAGGCACGTCACTATTGTTTCCCAAACAACAGTTACATTATGTCATGATCATTCCGTGCATAGAGGCACTGTGAAAGGAGTATAAAAGGCAGTAACACATTCCACAAGACAGACCAGCCCAACAAGTTTAAAGCACCAACTGCAAAAAAGGGGGGAATGCAGGTGTGTAGTTAGAGAGTTAAAGCAATGTTCCCACTAACTCCATATGGAAGAACCCCTTCATCTTTCTCTTTTTTTTATTAAATGAAACTTGAGAAGACAAGCTTTGACCAAAACTATTTAAAAATATTACTTAACCACCACCTACTTTCTCTAAATGCTACTAATAATAATCTCCTCCCTCTCACTTTGCATTGGATTCATCTTTCCTACACTATAAAACTGCACCCATCTGTGTAGCATCACAGCAAGCAAATCTACAAATTCTCATAGAGTACATCTCTTTTAGTTACTCCCGTAGCCTGTTTTCCCCAGCGCTTCATCTTTACCACCTTCCTCAAGAGTTTTGGAGTTCCTTTTTTGGTGTCACTCACCCCTCCATTTTAGCTTCCAATAATTCCAACAACCAACCAAAAGGAATAGTAGGGAGTCTCTTACATACACACACCATGTCTAAACACCACTGTTAGCATGCGCTCCTTTCCACAATATCCATGATAACAAATGGCTCCATTACCAGTGTAGTGTTTCTAAGATGACCGACCAACATGAATTTTCTCTATTATTTCATCGTTCACAGCATTTTGTTTGTGCTTGACTTTGATCACTAAAAATAGTTATCCAGCATGATCCTATTCACTAATACATACAACCTATGTTACAAACATATTGCAGCGTTTTAACCTGGATGACTACATTCCTCAAGTGTTTCTGCTTTCCATGCTGCACACCACCATGTGCATCTCCTGCCTGACTCCTTTTGTTTGGAATCATTCTTTGTGAGTTCCACCATTTTCAGATAGTCCAGACCAAATCTGCAACTCTCCCTCACCTTGATCATCACCTACACTGTTCAGCTGCAACTGCCATTTATCACTGAGACACACTAGGCTTTTAAAGTTTTTGTTAACAGGCTAATTATACTAAACATGGTCTGAACTAATTGCTACCAGTTTATTAGCATCTTACTGCTGAAATGGTTGCAGCCAGTGTTTTCTGTTTATTCACCTCAACTCTTGCTCTCCTACAAAAATACCATTAATTGGCTTGTTTAAATACGAATTTGAGTTCAAAACTCATTAAGGTTAAAACTGAAGTAGTATTTAATTTGCTAAATATTCCCCTATAGTTGCCACATCTACCATGTTCATTTACAAGGAATAAAACTAACCTCTTGTCTTCCAAGGAATGTTTAAAAATTGGCAGGATTCTCTGTCCTTGTTATATCTCAACCTGCACCGAGGTCAGGCCCATTGCTAGCTACAGTAATACGAAGATGACCTTACTGAAAATATCAACTGTTAATGCAAAAGTCATAACTATTCCAAGCCTTACATCTCAAAGTCCTTCCCACCCAGCTCATTGTATTAGTGTTACTGAACAACAACAAACTTAACATACTAAAGCACTGTAATAACAGAGACGGTACAATGACATTTTCCTTCTGCATAAGAATACCAGAACATGCATATTTGATGCCAAAGCTTTGTTTTCCTCAGGGCTAGTACTCCTATGATGCTATGCCAGGTTTAGGGTTTCTTCCCCACAATGCTTCAAAACGAGAAACTGCATTAAAGGAAAGCGGAAGTCCACAGAGCAACTCCAGTCACCCATCAACGTGACAAAAGAGACCCACAAGCAAACAAACAAAGAACAAACAGTAATTTTGCTTGAATAATCAGCACTGCAGTAAATCATTGCATGCAATTTTTGCAGGAGTTCAGCAACTTTTAGCAAATCCAGCTTTAGAAAATGACCAATTTAATTTTTTAAAAAAGTGGCTCAGAAAATTCCAGTAGTATATAGCCCGGACCTGAATCTAGGCAGTCACAGTAGTTGAGGTACCACCTATGATAAATAAAAGCCTAAATGACCAATTTCTACTCAGCCAAGTAAAGAGGAAATCTGCCCTCAAATGTTACACACCTCAGTATACTTGCTTGTTCACTACTACACTTCTTGGCATCTTCTCCTGCTGTGAATAGACTATTCAGAATGTCTAACCAACATCCACGCAGAGAACATGACCACAATACCAATTTAATATTTTTCAAATCAGATAGTGTCATGACTTAATTTACGTATGCAAATCTCATCTGTTTCACTCTTCCAATTATGGGCTTTGTCCTTTACATGTCCATAGAGGGTTGGACACACAGCTATAGCTATCGAGAACTGTCAGCCTCACAATTTTCAGGATTTTTTTTGGTTTGTTTTTTTGGTTTGATTTTTTTAGGGGTTTGTGGTTTGCTGGGGTGTTTTTGTTTTTTTTTTTTTTTAAAGCTATTGCCTTGGTCACTTTCTCCAACATTGACTAACCAGAAGACGAGGAATTTCATGGTAGTATTTTAAGACACAGATTCTTCATTCTCCTTTTCCAAGACGGCTATCACCACACAGCTATCGATAGCAGTCATAACCAGTAAAGACAGGATTCAAGAATCACCACTTCATGTGTGAAGCACAATACATTTCTTCAATTCTGTGACAGAGTGATAACAAAACCCAGTTGCTTACCTCAGGTCTAAGAGAAGGAAGGATAACAATTTCTTGCAAAGCTTGTTTAGCCAGTTCCTGCCCTGCGATATCATCAAATTTGACAGCTGGCCCACTAACAAAGAAATGGAATACTAATTAGTCTAACAATGAGATACTCTTTTTCAGCTGCAGCTGACTAATTTAATGCATTTGACTATGCAGAACCCTTTTGAGGAAATCTACAACTTATACTGCTAAGCATTTAAAAAGATAAGCATTTCTGATTTGAATTTTCATCCTTTTGCCAAAGTAACAGCAACAAAAAAAACCCACTCCAAAACAACCCCCAAAAAACCCACAACAAACAAAAAGTAGTAATTTTCATTCCAAGTGGACCAAGACTGTACTGAACAAAAACCTGGTTTTCTCCATTGAAAAGCCTACTTTTCTTCAGACTTACCTATCAACAATTTCATTCAGGATAAGATTAGCAAGATTACTGTCCACATTTCTAAATATCTTCAGGTCTTTCTTTTTTCGAGGAGCAGTGGTAGGAGTAGAAGGTTTATTTGTTCTGCTATTTTTAGGAGCAGCCTGGGGGGGGGAGGGAACAAACAAAAAACCAACTTGATACTTTATAGCATACTGTTTAACAAAATTACTTTTACATTTCATATGCTCCAGTAAAACCTAATACGTTAACACATACCAGATATTCTGATGCTGTATTTTGCTACAAATCATACTATCATATTCAGCCACAGGTAGAACATCTTAGGCCCCAGTGGAGAGGGGTTTTTTGGTTTGATTTTGTTTTGGGGATTTGGGGTGGTGTGTGTGTGTGTTTGTTTTTTAGTTTTTGTTTTTTAAAATAATTCATTATATTTAACTACGGTGTTTTCCCCCAGCATACTCTAGAAATAGAGCATCACAAACTGTTTCAGATTCTCAATACCTATAAGCAAGAATTTCTACTGCTGTCATACTTCGCTAACAGGCCACTTAAAAGCCTTCATATTATAGCAGCAATAATGCTTAACCACATTTATGTTCTGTCCGTCCTGCTTTTTATTCTACTTTACTGGGGGAGTAGCGGGGGGAGATAAGGATGGAAGGGAAAGAGATGGGTCAAAAGAAATGCAGTGGGTTTGTCTCTTATTAGTATAGGACTTTTGTATTTCTGTCGCAATCTAACCACAATTTGCTTTTCAATGTGGTTGCAATACAACCTGTGCATACATACTTTGGAAGAGAAGGAACGTGTGGGGGGAAAATCTGTAGTTCTGGAGTAGGAGGGGGTTTTTCTCCATCTTTTACATACTGGGAGTAACGTTTATTTTTCTCCTAGATAAGCTTCCCTGAGTTTCCCATGCAGTTTTCAAAACAAGTATTACTATTTATTACTGAGATCACAATTAAAATCCATTTGCTCATGCAGCCACCCGATGCCTCCTGATTTCTAAAACCCACTCTGCAGCCCAGCTCAAGAGGCTTAGCCAAAAATTTAGGGGTTTAGTCCCCCCCTCCCTCCCCCCCCCCCACACAAAAACCCCCAAACAC